TAATGTTGGAATAGTTAAGATTTTAGGGACTCTTGGAGATGGAATGAAAATTCTTTTGTTTGCTGAGATAGACATGAGTTTCAGGAGGGTCAAGATCAAATGCTACAGTTTGGATCTTCAGTGTTCCCCAATGGCCCATGAATTGAAGTCTTAGTCCTTGGGCTTGGTGCTATTGGCATGTGGTAGAAACTTAAAGAGGTAGGGCCTAGTAGAAAGTCCTCCAGCCATTGAGGGCCGGCCCTTGAAGGGGATAGTGGAATCCAAGCCACTTCCTTCTTCTTTCTTCTCTTTTGTTCATGGCCACTAAGTTGAACGACTTTGCTCTGTCACGTTTCCCACCATGATGTGCTACCGGGACCAATGCAATGGTATCCTCCACTGAGTACACTTCTTTGCTTGGCTTCCATGACCCCAGGTCCTCTTGCCTTTTGTCCCAACATCACTGGCCATTCCACTAGGGTTATTATTTTTGGCTCCAATTCTTTGCTTTCATTTTAAAACTCTGGAGTGCTCCAGGACCCACTTCAGAGCCTCGTCTACCTCTCTGTTCACCCTCTTTACATAACCTTGTTTGGTTCCCTATCACTATCTGGGGACAACATACTCATGATGACCTCATCTACAAGTCTATCCCTGACCTCACCCATAACCCAGAGTCTTTTTGTTTTCTCCCTACCTGCCATCTCCACACAGAGGTCTGATACAGATTCTGAATCTTTATGTTATCCAACTCAATCTTTATATTGTTCAACTCAAAATTGTTGATTCTTTCCCCCCCAGGTCTGCTTAACCAAGCTCTCTTGTCAACCTTGTTCATCAAACCAAAAATCTAAGTTTTACTCTCAATTTATCACTTTAATTTCTGACTTCTAGTCATCATATTTATTTGTCCTAATTAGTTATACATGACAGTAGAACGTACTTTGACTATAATCAGTCATCCCATTTTAACCCTAAAAGGCAAGTTTTTCTTTCACTCCATCCCAGTAAAGTACTTTCTAGCTTAGACTACCACTAGCTGTCTGCAGGCCTCCTCCAACAGGCTGCCTCTGAATCCATCCTCCACCATAATCCTTTTCTAATTTTTATCAGATGGCATTCATTCCCATTTCCAAAACTCATGAGAGGCTTCCCACAGCACTTAGAATAAAACTGGAACCATTGCCCAGGCTTGTAAAGCCAGACCTGGTCTGGCTCCTGCCTTCAACCTCATCTTGTGCCACTGTCACCCTCACATGCTGTTCCCACCATGCTCACCTTATTTCTGCTCAGTGAATGCAGCCAGGTTATTCTCCCACCAGGGCTTTTGTGCCATCGCTGACATAGTCTGCTGACATAGTCTCCTTTGGCTCTCAGCATGGCTACAGCTAAAAACCACAACTATCTCAGCTTAAATATAACCTCTGGAGACAGTCAGGAAAGCCTGACTATCTAATCAAACTCCCAGCTTTCCCTGTGTGGTTGCCCACTTTTAATTCTCTGCAGGGTATTAGTGTGTCTATTTTTTATTGGTCCACTCAAGCTATACCGTCCCACTAGAATGTAAGTTCTTGAAGTGCACAAGAGGTGTATCCTCACCCTGGGTCTTAGTCCACTCAAGCTGCTATAACTGAATGCCACGGACAACAGAAGTTCATTTCTCACCACTATAGAAGCTGCAAAGTCCAAGATCAAGATGCTGGCTGATTTGGTGTTTGGTGAAACCCCATTTCCTAGTTCATAAAAGGCACCTTCTCACTGTATCTTCACATGGCAGAAAGAGAAGGGTCTCTGGGGTCTTTTTTGTAAGGACACTAACCCCATTCATGTGAGCTTCTCCCTCATGACCTAATCACCTCTCAAAAGCCTCATATCACTGTCTGGTAACAACATGCTCATGACTACCTAATCTACAAGTCTATCCCTAATGATGGTATTTCCTAATACCATCACTTTGGAGTTAGGATTTCAACAGATAAATTTGGGAAGGACACACACTGAGTCTGTAGCAACCTGTAAAGAAGTACCTAGCACCTAGCACCTAAGATGTGATCAATAAATATTTGGGTGTATTTGTGGCTCTCTCATTAATTTTATTGATATATTTGTTTACTTTTTCATAAATGCCACCCATTTTACTACTACAGCTCTGTAGATATTTTAATATCAGTAGAGTAAAACTCTCCCCACACACATTATTCTTTTCAGAGTTGTCTTTCCTAAGATTATGAAATACTTATTTTATATGAATTTCAGATTCAGATGATCATGTATCATGCTAATTCTATAGGAATTTTGATTGGTATGTTTTTGAATTTATAGATTAGTTTGAGGAAAAATGACATCAATAGAATACCATGTAAAACATTATATAATTCTCCACTTATTTAAACATTATTTTTGTGCCCTTTAATTTAGCTTTATAGCTTCCCTTTTATGAGTTATAAAGTTCTTTATAGGTAATAATTTTTGAAAACTGTTGGGAATATTTATTTTTCTATGATACTTATTAATTTTCAGTGTGTAAGGTAGCTTTTCTACTCAGACCTTATTGGGGTTTCTTATTTCTTTTATTAAAACTTTTAAATTTATATATGACAGCATAATGCATTACAATTCTTATTACACATTAGAGCACAATTTTTGATATCTCTGGTTGTAGACATAGTATATTCACACCAATTCATGTCGTCATGCATGTACTTTGGATAATAATGATCATCACATTGCAACATCATTAATAACCCCATGCCCCCTCCCTTCCCCTCCCACTCCTCTGCCCTATCTAGAGTTCGTCTATTCCTCCCTTGCTCCCGCTCCCTCTTATTTCATCTTGTAGATAGCGTATAGCTGATTTTCTCGATTTTCTAAAAGGAGAGGATCTCAATATTTTCACAGAGTGTTCCTTTACTTTTTAAAATACTATATTGCATTAGGTGAGATGTCCGTAAATATACCCAATAACAATATAAATGTGGACACCTGTATTTGACCCCATGCTTTCCTGGAATCACTACCAAGTGTGACATTTGTTTCTGGTAGAAATCCTTTATGAAATAAACAAGTTCTCTCTATAGTGTTTCTATAATTTTTTTTAAAAAGACAGCCTTTAAATAACATTTTTAAGAAATCAGTTTTACAACAACAAGTAAAAAAAATACTAATAGGTTTTGGTAAAATCCTGCAATGTTTTAACAACAACACTTCCTAATGATTGAGCTTCCTTTGTGAGGCAGACAAGGGGCTTAATATATTTGATACTTTATTCCTAGCTGTCAAAGCATTTTTACAAGGTGGAGTATTTTCCACCACTTTAAAAAATGAGACAATATTGGCTCCGAGACTCATGTAATTCATCATAGGTCACAAATCGAATAAGTAATTAATCAGAGATTTACATCCACTATATCTAGCTCCAAAGCCAACATTCCTCCCACTGTTTTCCATTTTTAATTCAGTGAGATATTAAACCACGTCTTTCAACATGCCTTAGCCATAAAGATAACAAATGTGCACTGGGTTTATGAGCTAATTGATAACCACAACCAAAGAATGTCGAGAGCCACAGCCAAAGGGGCCCCAGCAAACTTTCAGACTGCCAGCTGATGATTGGCTCACAGCGGCCCCAGCAACTTCTAGCTGATTGGCTCCTCTGCGGTGATGCTCATTGAGCTGTTTCCCCGCCCTTTCAGACTGCCAGCTGGGTCGCATGGGTGGAGCCAAAAAAAGTCCCCCAATGAGCAGCTCCGTAGTCTGAAAGGGCGGGGAAACAGCCCAATGAGCATCACCGCAGAGGAGCCAATCAGCTAGAAGTTGCTGGGGCCACTGTGAGCCAATCATCAGCTGGCAGTCTGAAAGTTTGCTGGGGCCCCTTTGGCTGTGGCTCTCAACATCTCCCCCTCTCTGTTTAAACAACAAGCATGTGGCTTAGGGACCCTGCCTGCCTTAGGTTGTCCAATAGTCCATATGGTGCTTACGCGTTATCGGATGAGCTGACCTCAAGGCATCAGCCTCCTGTCTTAGGTAGGTACCATTTGGTTGTTTAAACAACAAGCATGTGGCTTAGGGACTACGGAGCTGCTCATTGGGGGACTTTTTTTGGCTCCGCCCATGTGACCCAGCCAATCGGCCTCAAGAGCAGGAGGAATAGGGGAGGTGGAGAGGCTTGTGGGAAGCCAGTGGTGGCAGTTGGGCTCTGAAGGTTTGTCCTGAGGAGCAAGTTTTATTTGGCCTGTGTGGTTCTAAAAATAAAGTTCGTTTCTTTTGACAAGTGGCTCCTGATTGTGCCCAGCCAGACTTCGGCAAAGAATGTCTATTTTGGTGCCAATTCTGATGGAGAAGTAAAAGGTCCTTGAGACCCTCTCTGGTCACTAACAGCTATGCCCTTTATTAACGGCTTATATCAAAGTTTAAGAAGACAAAGGCACAGATAACCAATTTAGGTCAGCTAATACAATGGATTAGGGAAGAGAGATCCAGAAACATCTAAAGAGCAGAAAGGCTGAGCCATAATAAGCAATAAGGGTTTTTTATGATTATAAGTAAAGATTGAACCTTAGGTTCAAAAAGATCAAATGCACACAACCAAGATAAAAAATAAGCACAGTCTTGTGAAAAAGACCTAGCAGTTTAAGCCAAAAGGTAACTTGGTATAATGTGGTTGCCACAACTACTCAATATGGGTGTATATCATAGTTCTTGACCATCCCACTATATCTTGACCACTCTCTATATCTGGGAGTACATATCTTGTTTTGGATGTTATATTTTTATTGGTCATAGCCTGGTGGAAATGCTAGCAACAGCCAGATATCTACTTCATCAAGTCCAGGATGAAGAAAGTTTCAGAGGCAACAAGGGGACCCCAAGACTTCCCACCGTTGTTAGATAGCTTGGGGAACAGGGAGTCCACAGAACAATGAGCTCCTTATGGGCTCAACCTCATCAGGTTTGGAACATGCTCCAACATGAAAACCAACATCACCTTTTTTATGTAACTAAGAGTTCCTATCTTTACTTACTGCCACTCCCGTTTTATAGAGGAGGTAATGTACAGTCTGGGTGACATCAGCAGCATGCATTAAATTATGGTAAGGATTTTTATGCTTGCTGTATCCCACTTCCAGGGCCTCCACAAATGAGACAAGTGCAGAAATGGGAATCTGAAAGAGAGCCACAAGCTTAATTAGTGACTGGATTGCTTTATGTGAAGAAGCAAAAGTCTAAGGCACCTTGACTATTTTTTTTTCTGAAGGATAACATGTCACATGAGGAAATTACAACTTTTCATAGTTAATAAAAATCAGTGGAGAAATTATCAGATGATTTAAAAACCCAACAACGTCCCAGGTTGAAGAACAGTCCACTTTGCAAATCATTCTTTACTTCAATTCAGGGACCCTGGGGAATGACACAAAATCATCTCAAAGAAATTTAGTCTTACTTACGTGAAAAGCAATGATTTTTGATGCAATGTAGAAAACCATGTTATCAGCAACTATGCTGATCTTCTGAATTTCCTTGTCCCCATCTATCCTTAGATACCATCCAACTCCAGTACCAAGGTACACAAGACCCCAAACAATGTGGTAAGCAATGTTGAAGGTCATAATAACAGTAATARTGAGTACCATTTTGTGGACTCCTTCACAATTCCTAACATATGGTCAGTGGAATGAGATCTTCCAAATTGCAAGTCACCAGTAACAAATTGCAAGTAATAACATGAGTACACAGACTGTTCCTGTTGCCATGTATGACCGACTGTCACATTGCGATTTGGGTTTTGTTTTTTGTGTTTTGGTTTTTCTCATGTGTCCAAAGCCAGTGACAATTCCTAAACAGCCTGGTTTTCAAGAAGTCGATATTTCTTCAATTACTGGCAGCATCTCACATCTGCTTTGCAATAACTTGATAACTGGAGGTTTTGTGTTATTTTATGTTTTCCCACAGGCAAATTGGATATGCTGCATGGTATGTATTCATGTGTTTCTCAAGACATAAAGACTTTAGTCTCTTTTCGTGAAATTACCAGTAACTGAGGACAATATTTCCAACTGGCTTAACTGATTTTCCATCTCAAATAGATATAATAGACATAGCTTCCTTTTCAATGTGGCAGAAAATGAAGAAGAATTGAAAAATGTATGTACTAAATAAGGGGACCCTGGAAACATTCATTGTGTTAGTTTTCTGGATCAATGCCGTGGTTCGGGGTAAATTATGCAGTTCAGGGATAAAGGAAAAGAATTGAAGATGAACGATCACATTAGTAAGAAACACTAAGGAAAATGCATCTGAGGTTCCATAACCTGTTTCTCCTTGGTGTATTCTTCGTGGTTGCCATTTGTGGATTTTTTAAAAAAATTAAACACGAGAATTTATTTTTTAAAAAAATTAAACATGAAGTCAGAGATGAACTCATTATCATTTTTAAAAATGGGACTGCTGGGTTGTTCTTTGGAGCCCTGTGAGCCAATAAGATGCTAAGTAAAGGTATATATGTATGTGCACAGGAGATTTGTTCCAAAGAAACAGTGTCTGGCTTCATGCAGGTTTCAGATGCACAACAAATAAAGGACTTATGGGCCACTGCCATGAAGTATTTACAGTCATGCAAGAAAAAATTGGAAGCATCCTCCAATATGCAGTCCTTTGGAGGAGATAAAGACCAGGCTATCCAGAGAACTTAATATGTTGTACAGAAAAAGCCCTGCATTTCCAAAGTCTTGTCCATCTGATGCAAGAAGTCTGAAGAGCTTGATCAGGGAGATGTCAGCAGATGAATACACAGGTTCCCTGGAGGACCTGGTCTGACCTCGAGAACCCATGGTATGAGATGGCTGAGCGGGGAGCAGAACACTGGAGACGAGTCATGCTCTTTATTTAACATGAAGAATTAATTTGAAGCATGAATGGCTGGGAAATACCAATGGTCTGTCACTGATGATATGTGAGAGTATTTGTCTGAATGAGCCAATGGGTGGAAAAAAAGTTTACAGAAGGATCAGAGGCTCACTCTGTCTCCATTACTGCCTGGCTGACAGCAGTGGTCGATAGTACACGAGGTCGTGCTGAAATGAGAGCCGCAGGCAGCCCCCACAGGGGAGCTCGGCTATTGTAGGCTTGGGTTGTATTTCTAGGAAGACAGGGATCTGATCGGGCTCCTCCAGCCTCTCACTGTCCCTGAGACCTACCAGCCTGGGTGTAATGAAAAGTACCCCCAGGAGGAAAGCACAGCAGCCTTGTCCTAATGATGCGCTCTGAGTCACGGAGAGCAGTTTGGGCCTATTTTAAAGTATTCTCTTGGTCTTAAATCCAAAAGTCACATGAGGATGAACCAAACAGGTACACTTTATTTACTTTTTATCTTTTTAATGAAGTACTGACCTTAAAGCGGCTGATCAGATCATAGCGGGTAAGTAATTCATAGAAAATGAATTTCAGTGCATGATCCCCACTGGCCTCATTGAGGGAAAACACATCAAAGGACCATTTGTCCACATCCTGCAGGACAGGGCAGGGAGGAAGAATGTATTAGTCTGCAGTCATTTATTGAGCTACCAATCTCCCCATTTTTGAGTCTTTCTGTAGCCTTTCCCTGTTAATTTCATAGCCCAAGAGTCTTAACTTCCACCTTCAAATTTTTCTTCAATCTGTTAGTCCTACCTAGAATTTTCTGTTTAAAAATCAGGTCATCTCATTACTGAGCAACAAAAGCCATCATTTATTGAGTGCAAACTGCATGATAGGCTTTAGGCTCTGTGATAAGTATGTAATTTTCCTGAAAACAACTCTAAGTGGTGGGTGACATTAGTCCCATTTTACAGGTGAGAAAAGCAACACCTGCCTAATTTCCCTAAGACCCCTTCAAGTAAGTGCTTAAGACACAAGTGGAATGAGAACAGAAATGTGTCCACCGACCCCTATGCTCAGGCTCTTCCAATCAAGCCCTTGAGCTACCGATAGGGAACTCATGAGTCCCTGGGCTGCTTCATCTTCAATCTTCTCTTCTGTCCACATCATCCAATGACTTCCTCTTGGTCAAAATTGATAATGTTAACTCATTTAAAAGTATTCAGAAACACGCATGATAAAGTGTGCCTAATAGCATGTCACCTCAATCTTCTGAGCTGAAACTAAGGAGAAAGCTTTCATTTCACAGGACAGAAATATGCTACCTTTCTGAAGTCACTAATCCTGGGATCTAGTTCTCAAATCTGTACATCACCTTACTGAAAAGAGGAAAAGGAAAAGCTAAGTGGATCACACACTTGATAAACCATCGATGAAGTTCTAATTTGTCCATCAAGTTACTCCAAAATACATGTAAACATGATCTGAAGTGCCTTTGACCTAGTACAACCAGCTACTTGTAGACATAGTCAACAGTGTGTCTAGTCAACAGTTGAAGCAACAGTCATTTGTTTTCTCGTCACTTCCCAATCCTGTCCTTCTCTAAACATTCCACCTGTCAGATTCATCTCAAGGTCATCAAGGATCTATCTCTTGAAAGCCAGGGCACAGGAAAACATCTGTTCATAGGAAAACACAAAATGTTCCTTAAGGATTTCAACTGAATTGTGTCAATTCACATTTAAAGGTAACCTCACTTCAATCTTCATGACCCTTCCATTAAAAAACTAAAGAAAGAGCGCTGGGTACTGAGCACAGTTTCTGTGAAGTGATGATATACATTCACAAAACCTCACAACTCTAGAAAAAGGTGTCACCTCTTCCAGCATTGCAGATGGCAGCCTCAGAGAGACTGGGAAATTGTCTGTGGCCATGCAGTAGCAAAACCAGGTAACAAGCCTTGGAGATCTCACTGGTGACAGATGACACTGCAAACTCAGTGAGTCTGTGCTGTGACCCAGGTCTCATCCCCAAAATACCCAGCAAGGGCCCAGGCCATACACAGCAAGTCTATTAAAGATTTACTCAAGACCTAAAGTTTTACCTTGGTTACTAAGATTGGCACTGCCATGAGTCACAGTCATTGTCTGATCCCTAGTCCTAAGGAAAAGGCCACTGACAACTCAATGGGTTAGAAAACACTTTGTCACATCTGACAATTTTTAATCCTAGACTCCAGGATGAATTAAAAAAAAAAACCTTTCTATCACTGGAAATTGAGATCATCATAATAAAAAGTCAAGATTTATCTGGATATCAGTACTGAGAAATGGGAGGATGAGTGATGTATTTACTGTAAATGAGGGGGAAGTTCTCTTTGGCCCCTCATTTTAGGGAAATCTTAATTGTGATTTTTCTAACCATTTAGGGGGCCTTACTGAAAATACTGATTCAGGATGAGGGACACAAGACTGAAGAATCCTGGGCCTGGAATCTGCATTTTTAACAAGCATCTAGATGAACTGCCTCAAACCATTCTCCCTCTTTTACGAAATTTTGCCTGAGGACAATTTCCTGTTCACACAGCCAAAAGGAAGCCTCAACCTCCTCACTTCCTCCCACTTTAAACCTGGAGTTTATCCAAGGTGTTGCTTCCTGAGCCACAGACAGCTGCTGTTCTAAAGAAGAGAGTACTTGTCCATTTTCCAGTAACCCCACCCCAGGAGACTGGAGATAAAATACCTCAAATTAGAAGTGAATACGTATTGAATGGAAAAAAAAATTAAAAGAACAAACTGCAACCTATTTCAAATTTAGAGCTGGGTGGTGGCTCATTGTTCTCTTCCTTAAATGTCATTTTAAGCCATGTTCTTATATTAGCCACAAAAGTTAACATGATAGTAGCATAATGGTTATTTTAGTGAATTGTATTTTCTCAGTCTTTAGAGAAATTTTCTGCAATAGAAGAGAACAGTAGTGATTCTATATAAACTCTTGGCAGGGAGGTGGAAATGACCTCTTTTCCCAACAGGTACTATACAAAAAAAAAAAAAAAAAAAAAAAGAGAGAGAAAGAGAATCTCTCTCTCCAACTCACCTCCAATCCATTGCAAATAAATCAGGAGTCTGGGGAACTGGAAAAATATGCCATTGTAAAAAAGGTTTTGAACTTTCCCGGACAACGGGGGGTAGGGCCAAAAGAAATAGCAGCTTTAACCTTCATGCACATATTGGCAATCCATGTGGAGAAGGGTAGCAATTTAGAGCTAGTACTCACTCCTAGTTTGAATAACCTTTTCCCTTTTCCTTCAGAAAGACAACATATGTGCATCTGAGAATTTTCTTTTCCCTAAGTATAAAATAACAATTTGTGCACATCACAGGTTGTTCCATGAGTTTTTTCCCCAGTTATTCTGCATAGAAAAGAAGCTCCAATTTGGAAGAAATAGTCTCATAGATGTCTCGGTATCAGTATACCCACCTGTGTTTGTGTTCATGATAAAGGAAGAAATTAAAAATTAAAGTATGCTTTTAATGTTCCCAAGACTTTCACTGAACATTTCAGGTTCAATTATGAAAATCAATGCAATTTCATAGTGGTTGTTACAAAACACTGGATCTCGCGAAGCGATTCCACTGATTAAATGGGAAAGATCACTGTACATTACACTGATGTATTGGGCATTAGCATGATAGTTAGGGAGGAATGAGAGAAAACACATGGCTTCTTGCTGTAGCCTTCCTGCTCTTAAGATAAGCTAAGAAGAGACAAAACACATAAAGACAGAAAAAGTGGAAATGAGAAATCTGCTTATATAGAGTCTCCTAAGTTCAACTATTGAATGTGTCTGAGACAAGAGGAAGAACTATTAATACATAATTGAGAGGGTCCTCCAGGGCTCCTGCCTGACATTACATTAATTAAGAACTCCCACCTGCAATTCTATTTTATTACTGGGTAAGTTACACTATCAGCCAGTCATGCTTTTTCAGATTTCAGAGAAAGACAACAATTTTTGTACAACTTAGAATTCTACAGTGTCCCCCAAGAAAATGAACACAGTTCTATGTGTAGACACCCTACAGTGTCAACCAGCCCAGTGATTCGGGGCCTTTACACAGCCCAGCCTTGGAATCCAGAGCTAAACTGGGTTTAGCACCCCTGGATTTACACCAACACTACCTGGAGGAACACATCATCTTGAAGGCTCTTAGGGATATTCTATATGATTTCAAAAGCTTGTCTGGTTGGTAGAAACTATGAAGGATCTAGACCAGTTGAGCATAGACATTTGAATGACTTTCCATGGAGCATTTGGCTCAGTGTGAGTCTTGGGAAAACTGTAGGATATATGGGGATGGTATATATCCACAAACTCTGGGGGCATACATTCATGCCATAAAACGTTACTGAGACGTTACCATGTGGTAGACACTCTGTTATCAAATCCCATCTTTGTCTCCAATTAACTCTGTCCTTTTAAAAAATCTTGCTGAGTCTTAGTTTCTTCATCTGTAAAGTGGATTTGGAGTAGGTAATCAGGGAATGATATAATTACAATCACCAAAGAGCCTCCTAATGTTGAATAATACTTTTGACATAACACCTCCTATGACCAAGGTTAGATCAATCTCATAATTTCAGATAAATATATAAAACTAAACTCCCATAGAAGAATAGAAAGAAAGAAAACCAATACAGAGTTTGATTAAAAAAATATATATATAAAGTCAGAGGGTGAAAATATATTGACAGTGTTAGAACAGATAAGAAAATGATAATGAAAGATTAAAGTCAGGAATAACTGGGAAAAGAACTTTAATTGGAAACCCCTTATTTTCTAACAAATTCAACTGTACTTTCTATGAGATACTATCTACATTGTAAAATCTTTTCATCAGTATTACCTTTAATGCTTCAATAACAGCTGGTGGGTAGCTTAGTCCAACCATGTTTGATGTCCGTCTATACATTCTGGCAAAATTAGAGAGGAAAAATGCAATGTGATATCTTACAAAAAAATGATTAGCATCCCACAGACTTACACAAAATATTGGCAAATAATAAGAAGTCAAATTGACTGGTGACCCAAGGAAACTAAAATTTCTTTTTTGATATTTTTCACAGTCACTGAAGTGGCCTAACTGTTAAATTAAAAAGATATTCAAGCAATCTCAAACATGTGAATCCTGGTAACACACACAAAAAAAAACTTTAAGTCTAGCTGCCCAGATTGGAAACTAAATTATTAAAATGGGTTACCTGTTCTGCTAGAAAAACATATAGTACATCAAAGATGGAAGGCAGTGCAGGAGTTGAACCTGAATGATGAACCCTGTGGGCAACCCATTTAGGAAAGTGTGTTCTTTAGAACTATCCAAAAGCAAGAAAAATGTCCCAGGCAAACTTTCAACTCACCATGGCATTTCTAAAATGTATAATTGCCCAATAGGGATTGCAGGAAAAAGGAAATCTATTTCTGGAGTAGCGGAGCAGTTCAATTTCAAAAGGATGACAAAATTGAAGTGTCACAGGGAACTCACACCTTTTAAATGAACTTTCCTCCCTGGGTCAGCAACTTCAAAGCACTCTGACCTGTTTCAGAGGTAGAAACATTCACCAACCCATCATCTGATCCAAAAGACTATGGATTAGATTATTTCCTTCTTTAAACATTAGACATTGAACTCAAACTAATTTTTTTCTGGTTATCAAAAAGAATTTTGAGCAAACAAAAAAGCTTGTCCTAATGATGCTGCAGAGATTAAAATAGAGGTTTTTGCCATCTCTAATTGAAGACTACCTGCTTCCACCCAGAATTTTCTGCATTTATAAAGATGTCAGAACCACATTAAGAAGAAGCTTCTGGTTATTGGAAGCTGGCATTCCTTTTGCTGCTTTGAATGACAACGAGTGACACCTTTACCTCTCCACAAATATTCCAGCTTGCACTGCGTGAACRATGCTCTTGAACCTGGGCTTCTCCTCACTCCTCCTGAGCATCATCCCCATCTGCCGTGTAAAGGTGGAGGCCAGCCAGTCTCGGACTTCAGAAGGCACAGCATCTGACTGAATGTCACTGAGCTCATCCTCTGTATCCAGGAGTCTCCTGAAGATGAACATGAAACATAATCAGGACACTGAGATTAAATCTAAAGTTAGAACTCTCTTTTCAAAACAGGTGCAAAAAAATTGGCCACAGAATATACAGTGCCATTTTGATAAAGCTTGTGGAAACTCACTATTGATGTTTCAGGTTGGCTCCCCTGACCACACTGAATGCTCTAGGTCCATGTGTTGAAGACTTGGTCCCCAGACAATGGCGTTTTCCGGGGTAATGGAAACCTTAAGGGGCGGAGCCTAGTGGGAGGTCTTCAGGTCATTAGGGGCATGCCTCTGAAGGAGACTGTGGGACTTAGCCTCTTTTCTTCCTTTCAYTTCCCAGTCAGGAGGTGAGCAGCTTTGATCTACCATGCATTCCTACTGTGACATGCTACTTTGTCACAGGTCCAAAAGCAATGGAGCCAATCAATCATGGACTCTGACTTGAAACCAAAATAAATCTTTCCTCTTTATAAATTGATGATTTCGGGTGTTTGTTATAGTAGTGGAAAGCTGACTAACACATGGGATAAAGGGAGAAGAAGAATTAAACACATTCCCTCTGAGGCTCCACACAGGTGGTAGGCGCACTGTACTTTAGGAGTACCCAGTGTCCTTAACCCTTGAAGGTTTATAGAGTTTGAATGAAACTAAAAACTTCCCTTTAAAAATCCACTCACAAGGAGGCTTAACTTAATTTTATAGATGAACTATGTGACGTTATTTAAAAATAAGGTATTTATTAGACATTTAGTTCCTGTTACCTATTAATTTAGAAAGAATATCAGTTGACATCAATTAGGATCATTACTTCAGAGGACTGGGTTGATGTGATTTGGGTAACTTATTATCTGAATTCAAGCAAAATTTACAAAATAATGTCATTCTTTTTTGAGCACAATGAGGTAAGCCATCTGACAGTTGTGTTTTGCTGGTTTGTCAAACTTGTTCACAGGTCAGACACCAGAAGGGAACAGAAACTGTTGTACTATAATAAAACCTAAAATTACACTTCATACTATATTAATTCATAATGAAAACAAGCAGTAAAAGCAGGTATCATTGCAAAAGTATTCTTTTTTACATGAGATGCATAAATTGGGGAGAAGGGAAGAAAATATTTGAAAAAAAAAAAACCTGTGATAGCAAATTACCTTAAATTAGTAACATAGCATGTCATCACAAAAATAAACCATGCAAGCCTCAGATTACAGTGAACTACTTCCAGATTGGAATTGGCAAAGGAAACTAAGACATCACAAGTACTGACAGAGAAACCTGTGCAAATTAGGGAAAAAAATTAAAATAAAGCCTTTCATACTCAACATCTCAACGTTTTTCAAAAGAAAAGCAATTTTGTGACTTTCAGATGCATTTTTTAGTACCTGAAACCACTTTAATATTTTGGATAATTCAAGTGGAAAAATCTGCTAAGGAAAATCAATAACATGCATAAGACTGAAGAATGGATACTGTCGGCTTAAGGGAGCAAGTGTTTCTCTTCCACTTCATGAGCCTCCAACTACTGATGGATATTGTGAATTAGGACAAGTGCAATTTTTAAACGGACATTAACAATATGTAATAACTGCAGTGAAACTCTACATTGAATAAGAAACCTTTCCATGATTGTTAGAGTCAATTTTTCTCCTTGTACATTATCTCACTTCATTGTCCTAATGGCTACGTGAGAGGAGTTTTATTAGCTCTTTTTCTAGATGGGGAGGACTCGAGGAGAAGGGACTTGTCCAGATCTGTCTCATTTACTTGCAGAAACCATTTCTCCTTCCCTCTCCCTCTCCCTCTCTCTCTCTCTCTCTCTCTCTCTCTCTCTCTCTCTCTCTCTCTCAATTCATTTTGTACCAAGCGTTGAACCTAGGGGCACTTAACCACTGAGCCACATTCCCAGCCCTTTTTTATATATACATTTTATTTAGAGGCAGGGTCTCACTGAATTGATCGGAGCTTCACTAAGTTGCTGAGGCTGACTTTGAAGTCAAGATCCTTCTGCCTCAGTCTTTCCAGCTACTGGGATTGCAAGTATGCCCCACCTTGCCTGGCCCAAAGCCAGTAATTTAAATAATAGCTCATACTTGCTCTGGAGGACACCTTTAAAAAGCTATTTAAAAACCTTAGCATTGTTTTACTAACTACACTGGTCATCTTTAGCTTACCTGGTTTCATCAATGTATACAGATTCAAGCACTGAGGCTGCATATTCCAGATTCTTCTTAAGGTCAACGACGGAAGCCTCCCCTCTCTCTAGCTGCTTGACCAAAGACCGTAACCTAGAGAAAAAAAGATATGGGTTTCATTAGAATAGAGGCAACAAGGAATTGGACGATTATGGTGACATAATTTGTAGTCACTGAATGTCTTCTTAATTTCAATATATCTGAAAGGAAAAGGCTAATGGGATCAAAGTTGCAAGTTACCAAATAAATGCATATTTCTTTGCCATCATGAAATAAGAATAAACATTTTTCTCATCAACCAGGCCGTGATCACTCCCAACACTTTCTACCCAAGTTTTATCTTTTTGAGTTGCTAAATTAGCCATGATTTTTATGTTTTTGGTTCTAACAGGATAGGGTAAAATATGATCAGCAGCAATATCACCAAACCCTCTCTTGAAATTCTGCTCTCGAAGGCTCTGTATTCAGTCCTGGCCATAGAGAACAGCAGCCTTTGGTCCATATATGTTGAGACATGTGAAAAGTCAGATCCCACTATTATAGCCATAAAGGATGGAAGAAATAGATGAAGACAAGTGATTTCATTGAGAAAGAATCCCTTGATTATCAGTAAAATACTCTTGGTTTTTTTTTTAAGATGATGGATGATGAACCAAGAAATTCCAGGTATTATTACTGCCAAGAGAAATATAGTATTTTCCAATAGAAATATAGTGTTATTGTAGTAATTGAAAAACAGCAACTGAGACACTGCAAATCCCACAGGGATCTGGAGACTGGATGGCTCTTCAGGTTGTTTGTCAAAGAAAAGAGTAGAGATTTTTGAAGACAGATTAGAGTTTGGATCCTATTTCTATTTCTCAATGTATTAGCTATGCAACGCTGGGTGAGTTATTTAGTTTCTCTGAGTGTTACCCACCAAATTTCTCAGGTTCATATAAAGACTAAATGAAATTGACATAAAATTTGTGATTTATGTCTGTTTTTTTAAGGCAGTTGTTGAAATTATTGTTGTTGTTATTTGATGACCTTGGTCATCAGAGGTAATCAAATGAGAAAATGCTGGCTGAATACTTAAGATTACTGTCAGGGGCTGGGGATGTGGCTCAAGCGGTAGCGCGCTCGCCTGGCATGCGTGCGGCCCGGGTTCGATCCTCAGCACCACATACCAACAAAGATGTTGTGTCCGCCGAAAACTAAAAAAAAAAAAAATATTAAAAATTCTCTCTCTCTATCTCTCCTCTCTCACTCTCTCTTAAAAAAAAAAAAAAGATTACTGTCAGGTAAACATTTCCCTTTGGTTTATGCAATCTGTCCTCACCTTCCTGACTTAAAAACAACCTTCGACCAGCATTTATAGGAGAGAACAAGTGGATTTCTTGGAGAGATATAAACTACTCCCCTTCTGATCTTCATGAAATATACAAAGGACATCTCTAGGAATTTAAGTGGTACAAAATAGAGATGAAATTGGACGGAGAGTCATTCTCATCTAACTTTGAATCTCCAACATGTGACAAAGAAATATGCAAAGGAAATGAGCAGAGGACTGTGTAGACTTGGAGGTGTCGTTCAGTCCAGCACATCTCCTTGCCAGTTCTCAGAATTGTTCTGGATGTCAGAGGGAGGACAGGACAGAGAATTGGTTTGGAAGGCCTTGCCAGTCACTCAAACACAGTGGACAGCCAGTCTGCCAAAGAATGGGGAGATTGCAGCCCGGAGCCCTGACTGCTGTTCCAAATAAGGGTTGGAGGCTCTTTGGCAGCACATTCCTGGCTAAGTCTGTCTCTAGTTCTGATTCTCACCTCAAGGGGCCTACCTACCCCTAAGCTATCTGGAGTAAAATGAGAGCAGATTTAAACTTTAAAAAAATTTCCTCCTCCAATTGGAGCTTAAAGATTCTACCAGGAAGCTCTGATAGGATCAATTTCAWTTCTTAAAACCTAAGAGGAAAGAACAAAACAGAAGAAAATAATGAGGGAAAATATGACTAATAAAAGAACCAGAAGATGCTATCTGCCTATAATAAAGCTTCCACAGGAAATAAACAGAAAGCAGCTTTAATCAAAACAAGTTTTCCTAGGCGGCACTAAAACCTGAGTAAGCAGGGGACATAAGAAAGTCAGAAAAGAATAAATGAAAACATCCCACCTAGGCTGTTCTAATTTTTCATTCCAAAGAATAAAGAACTGAAAAAACTTTGAGAAAATAAAATGGATTGCTTCGAAAGTAACAGAAATTCAAGCTGTTCATATACAGCTACATGTCTAACACCAGAAAGAAATTTAACAATACCAGTTTTGTGGAATAGTACGGTGTAAATGAAGATATTTATATCTGTAACGAGTAGCATTGTCATGGATAGGCAAAACCAACAAAGATATTCTCAGGTATCAAAAAGTTTACAATGTTATCATTCATATGCTTTTCCAGAAAACAAATGCAAAACCAAGCTGTAAGGCTTGGTACACTCCTGGGTCTCCGGTGAAGTGGATAGTGGATTCCCAGCCTCCATTAAACTAAGCCAAACTTGACAAAGTAGAGGAGTAGTTTCAAAAGAGTCCCTAAAGAAATGGCTGATGAAATATAATGCTAATGCTGGGTGTGATAGCGCACACCTGTAATCCCAGCATCTCGGGAGGCTAAGGCAGGAAGATTGCAGGTTAAAGCTAACCTTAACAATTCAGTGAGGCTAGAAGTAAACTAGTGAGACCTTGTGTCAAAATAAAAAATAAAAAAGGGCTCAGGATGTTGCTCAGTGGTTAAGTGTCCTTGGATTCAACCCCTGGCATAATGATGATGATGATGATAATAATAATAAGAATAACAACAACAACAACAACTAAGTGTAGAAATGAGCTGATACTTCTTAAAATACACCTCTATTGCCACTAGAAACATCCTATGCCATTTTCACAAACCAGAGACTAATAGTCAAAAAAATAAAAAAAATAAAAAAATTGAAATAAGAACACCACAAGGACTATGGATTTATATCCACTGTTTTTAACAATTCTCATTCCTGGGAAAGCATAGTATTGAGAGAATCAATATGGCGTTATCTTTCTACTAGGAAGCCAGACCTCTAGACCAGAGACAGGGAGGTGCTCCCAGAGAAAGCACAGCTTGGATTCCCACCCAGAGATTCAGATCAGCCCCACTGGAAAGGCCTGGGCTCTGTGCCACAATTAACAGGAAATCGGCACAGCAGGGGCTTCTCCATGATGCCACCAGTAGTGCCAGCCAGACACTGGGCAGTCACTCTTGTGTATTCAATGTGAAGCTCTAATCAAGGGAAGGCTGCAGGAAACAAAACTCCTAGCAAAATGGCTTCAACAACCCCAGGAAAAAAAAATGACACAGAAATAAAGTGCTTTTTGATGCATAAGGGGTACCAAAGATTTGGACCTTTCTAGCTTCTGAGATGAGCAGAAGACTCCTCCACCAACCTCCTGGCAGAGAGGGTAAGGAACCTGGGACAACCCACCCTCTGTATATGAAAAGTCATCAGTTGACAGTCACCTCTCCTGATTCAAGGATAACTAAACATAAAAAAAAAAAATCTATAAGAAGATTCAGCAATAAAGACAGAGGGGAACACAGCAGCACTTGAAAGGCAGAAAAAAAGGACTTGCTTCTTGAAAACAAGAAAATTCACCCATGGAAACAGCAGTCAATTTTAAGAAGCATCTGCTGTGGGCTCAATAAAATTCCAGAAAGCATAGATCTGAGGAACCTAGAATGGATGCAATAAAAAGTGAACATATTGAGAGAGAAAAAGGAATTAAAAAGAAATGAAACATGACAATAGTAAAACAATACATTTTTTTTTAAAAAAAAGAAGCAGCAGCAGCAACTTGCTAAATACCCAACTCCTGTTTGACCCAAAACCCATGTAAGATTCAAGCTGCAGCTGTCAGCCATCTGTTTTAAGTAGATGCCACTCAAACTCTTGGAGTGCCAGACGACCCTTCCCTCCTATATTGCTGAGCTTTAGCCTAGTGCTCAGTGGCTGCTGCCACACTGGCCCTCAGCCCACCCTCACCTCTAGCTCTTTACTCTTCCCATTAAGAACACTGCCCTGCCCTGCCTTCCCCCATCTACCACCTACTATTCTGTGAAACTGCTATTTCTTGGGCATAAGAGTTTCTAAGAGCTTTTATACTACTGAACAAGTATTATCCACTAGTCTCAAAAATTCTCAAAAGTCCTGGGAATAAACAACCTTCCCTGTTTTTCATCAAAATGCAGGTTTTCTCTAGACCTGAATCCATCTTTTTTTAAAATTTGTTCCTGTTAGATATACTTGACAGTAGAGTGTATTTTGAGATATTATACATACATGGGGTATCACTTATTCTAATTAGAATCCCATTCTTCAGGCTGCACGTGATATGGAGTTTTGCTAGCCGTATATTCACACATGAACATAGGAAAGTTATGTCCAATTCATTCTACTGCCTTTCCTATTACCATATTCCCTCCCTTCCCTTCATTCCTCTTGTTCTAATACAATGAACTTCTATCCTCTACCCTTGATTGTGTGTTAGCATCTGCATATCAGAGAGAACATTCAGCCTTTGGTTTGGGGGGGTTGGCTTATTTCGCTTAGCATGATAGTCTCCAGTTCCATACACTAGAAAAACTAGGGATAGTAGGAACAAATCTCAACATTGTGAAAGCTATAGATGCTAAACCCAAGGCCAACATCATTCTAAATGGAGAAAAATTGAAAGTATTCCCTCTTAAAACTGGAACAAGATAGGGAAGGCCTTTTTCATCACTTCTATTCAACATAGTTCTTGAAACTCTTTCTTTTGTAATTAGATGAAAGAAAGAAATCAAAGGGAAATAGGAAAAGAAGAGCCCAAACTTTTCCTATTTGCCCACAAAATGAATCTATATTTAGAAGACCCCAAAAAATACCACCAGAAAACTTCTGTAACTCATAAATGAATTCATCAAGTAGCAGGATATAAAATTAATACAAATAAATTACTTGTGTTTCTATACACCAATGATGAATCAGCTGAAAGAGAAATCAGGAAAACCATCCCATTCATAATAGCCTCAAAAAAGCACCTTGGGAATCA